AGCCGCGGCCTCCCTGGAGACGCCCGCCCCGGAGCCGTGGCCCGCGGGTGGCTCCTCCCTGGGCCTCTCAAGGCGAGGCGCGCCACGTGCACACGCGCTCCCTCCTGCGGCCCGCCCCGGCCTCTGACCGTCGCCCTTGTGAAAGGAAGCGGAGGGGTTACCCTCGCAGGGCTCTGGGTGGGAAGACGCATCCCTCGCGCTCTGCAGAGCTCGCACCCAGCTCTCTCGGAGCAAAGGCGCTCCAGCTGTTCCTTCCCGTAAACTGTTAGGTTAGAAAAGCGTGACTGTGCACACTAATGGGTGTGCGTGAGTGAACGTGTGCATGAGTGTGGGTGTGCACACAAGCAGGTGAACATGCATGTGTACACAAATGAGTGTGCTCTTGTGAATGTGTGTAAACGAGCATGAGTTGTGCATATGAGCATGTAAACACGTGTGTGTACACAAAGTGTACGTGCTTGGGAGTGTGCGTAAGCCAGCATGAGTGAGCGTGCAGGACTGAATATGAGTGGGTGCATGTGCACTTATGTATGGTGTGCTCATGCATCAGTGTGTGCACAGAGTGAGCTCATGAGTGTGCACGTTTGCACACGCTTGTGCAAGTGTGAACTGTACAAGGATGTGAGTGTGCGTGTACACGTGTGTGAGCAGGTGAGCGTGAGCAGGTGTGTGGGAGCGTATGTGTCTTGGAATAGAGGAGGTGGTTTCTCTAGTATGTCCTCTGGGACAGCTGGCCTTGCTAGCAAAAGATGTGATACCTTTCTTTTGGAATTAAATATAATAAAAAACAAAATGTTGTATATTTAGGGAATGTCATTTGCATCAGAGAGTATGTGCGATGGCAGCTTATAGCATGTTTTATTTTGTGGAATCCACCAATTTTATGGATTGTGTTTTAGTGAGCACTTTACCACTTACTGTGATACATCTTCCTCCTGAGCTGGGAATTGCAGGTCTGCTTAATGCACCTTTGTCTGGCACTGGAGAGAAAATTTAAAGAATGCTGAGTTCGGCATTGACTACAGGGAGGACCTGAGACTGGCACCTTTCTGTTGATGGATTGATTTAAGGCTAAGTCAGAGGCATCAAATCATAATAATATTTTGTGCTTTTTGGTGTATTTTGGAATGATATGCTTATCAGTGGGGTTCCCAGTGAAGCTTTTCTGCAGAAGGTAAAACCCACAGAAGTAGACCATACCCTCCACCCTACTCCTCCAGGACAGTGGCAAGAACTACCTGGAGCCGGCAAGCCCTGCTCTACAGGGACTTGTCCCATATCTGGGACCTGTGAGTGCTCAACAAGCTGTCAACTGGTCACTCATTTTCAGGAACCACATGAAAAGGGAGATGGGGAAAGATGTTAAGAGGGAATAAGGAAATGATGGCGGTGATTTGCACATCGGAAAAAACAAATTAACCTGAAGCTTAAATAAAATCACAGATTGACAGATTTTAAACTATTTCTCTTTTCCTTGCCCCCCATTCCCTTTCTAATCCAGACAACGGGGACTTGCCTTCTCAGGTTTTCTTGGGATGCAGATCTCAGGCTCTCACAGGTCTGCACGTGGCTTGCACTGTGAGAAGTCACGTGAGGGACGAGGATCTAAATCCTGCCATCCCAGAGACCATGGTTACCTGCTCTTCCCACCCTCATCCCTCACCAGGGGCAGTTGTCCAGATGAGGCCGAATTTCCTGAAGCGTCCCCTCTAATCACACACAGAATGGCTCATGTTGCGTTTGTATTCTCTGGCAGGAGAAAAAAGCCAGGCCAGTCACTTGTGTGTAGGAGGGAGCCGAGACCACAGTCTGATGCCAGGCTTGGCACTGCGGGCTCCGGGAAAGAGCGGACTGGGTTTGGTTCTGCTTGGAGTCTGCCGTTCCCCCAGGGCTGTGCTGCGGCCTGGTGTGTTTCTGCGGCGGTGACAGGCTCACCCTGGACCGACCTCACGCTCTGGGCAGGCTGTTTATGAGCAAAATGTTTGCAGGAGGATGGGTGTGAGAGGACGGCAAGAGAGGGAGGCGTTGGTGCCCTTCAAGCCTTGGGTTTTGGTTTTTGCTTTGGGAGGTCAAGCAGGTCTCTGAGCGGGTCGACCGTGGGATCACAGCCCTTCGGTAGTGGCTGGATACTCACTGGCCAGGTGGCAAAGCCAGCTCAGAAAAGGGAAAAGGATAGTTTTCATTTCAACCAAAATGGAGACAAACGTTTTTGTTTACTATAGAGACTGTGATATATAATTACACAACACAATAGTGGTTTTGTTGCTGAAAGCGTTTTATCTCTTTTCCTTCATGTTTGGCTACGTGGGTGCACACCACACACACACACACACACACACACACACACACACACACACACACACGAATTCCCTTTGGGGCACTGGTTCTTAAACCGTACATAGTGCTTTTATATAATACAATAAACCCTGTGTATATCAATATTTGATACTTTTAATGTGGAAAATGAGATTGGTTCTTGTTGATTTAATTGAGCGACAACCCTACTCATAGGAAAAAATGTCTCCCTAAATGATTTCTATGTTTTGTTTTAAAAACATTCGTGGTAGAAAATGCACTCTGCTTTTGTTGATGAGAATTTTAAAAGAGATTTTAAAGTAAGCTCAGCAAGTTCAGGCTATTCCTTTTTTAAGACTTATCCAAATTAAAGCAAGTAGTGCTTTATCCATCCAGTCCTTCATCAGAAGTCAATTAGCACAATTTATCTTAATAAATTATAGTTAAAATGATCATTACAATGAAATAAACGATTCCAGAATTGTATGCCCTGTTGTCTTACAGCTGACAAACTTCAACACATCTCAAGCTGTAGTGAGGTTCTCCTGTGCAGAAATCGTAGGTGGTTCAGGCCACATAGACTCGCAGATGCCTGCACTTGTTAAAGAAGGGGTGGATATCCTGGCAATGTCATAAAACGTTGCCAATGTTTGCAAACATTTACAAACACTGCCAACACTGCTAAACCCTCCTCTCAATTCTCATTTCCACACACAAAGTGAGTAGCTAACAGTTCACAGACACGCCTCCTCTGAGAAGTCCACCAGGCTTCCTTCCGTGAGTCCTGCTCCATGGCAAGTACCAGCCTGCCCAGCCCTCCTGGAGCACCCAGGACAAATGCCCAAGGGATTACCTTAGATTAGTAGAAGAACAGCTATTTTAAAAACTTGATGTGGATGCTGTTCTTTGAACAGCTGGGGGTGGAGAACTGTGGTAGATCATACCACGCTGGCACCCTGCAGCTGGTGAGCAATGCCACTCTGGCTCCAACATCCGCGCGTTCACAGGGGAAATGGAGCCATGGAAAGAATGCCCCCACCTGGCTCACATTCAGGCACTATTCTTCTTACAAACCAGCCTTTATTTCTAGACTTCTAAAAACAACCTGTGTTATGGCTGAAGCTGATGGAGCTGATTACTGACTTTCATTTAAGAAATTCACCTGTCAGAGTCCATCCCTCACACTCTAAGATGGGGACAATTGTCCAGCTTGTGGGCTATGGTGAGGTTCTCGAGATGATATACACCAAGACTATGGTGCAGCGCCCAGTGCAGAGATAGGGCTGGGTATTCCCCAGGGATGGTGGACCAACACTGGGCAGGAGGACTCAGGGTCAGGAGCCAGCATCTCAGATGGATCACACTGGACCTCTTGATCTCAGAAAGGCTATCAGGCCCTTTCTCTTTGCAGAACATTGCACCTGTACCATTCTCTGTTGATGCTGCCCCTGGCTGACAGGTTTGCCAGAGCTTTTCCTGACAAGTCAAAGGAGACCAGAGAGGGCCTGCAGGTGGAAATTGCTCTCTGTGAATTTCGATGCCCTCTGCCGGTCCCCAGTACTGAAGCCCTGGCTTGAAGTTTCCTCAAGGAGGACTGTACCAATTTACTCTCCTAACTACAGTGTATAAAACATGCTTTTCCTCACATTCTTACCAATGCTGGACATAGTACTTGATTCGGTTTTTGCCTTTTTAGTAGGAGGGGAAAACACAGATCTTAATTTGCATTTCCCACATCCCCAGTGACGTTGTGCACACGCATTAACTTTGTGTTTCTTTGGTGGATTGCCTGTTCATATGTTTCTCATTTCTCATTCGGTTGTCTTTTTCGTTTTTACATCATTGATCTAGTGTGTATGTGCTGCAGATATATTCTTCTGGTTTGTGGTCTGTGATGATCAGTGGAGCCACCCGCTCTCTGAGAAACCCACGTGCTCTTTTCTTCCTTTCATTGTTGAGGACGTGTTAGACCTTTAGAGTGGGCAGCCTATTTTCCCATCCAGAAACTAATGGTTTTGGTGATTTCTTTCTGGAATGTAATAATGAAGGACTGTCTGGTCTGGGGCTGTGCCCTTTCCTGGATTGTTTTTGTTTTGTGGTGAGTGAAAGTGCCTGTGACCAATTTGCCCCACTTTTGGATTCCGAAGCCTGCATGGAGGCTTTGATACCAGACATGGGCTTACAGCACCCTGGGGAGCAGGGCAGAGCACTTGCTGGGTTTGGCTCTGAGCATCTTGGCCGGGCAGCCGACACGGCTGGAAGTCAGGAGTTCACATGCAGGGGGCTTTCTTCCCGCCGTTAGACGTTAGAAGGGTGGGCTGTGGAAACTCACCCATCCTTCTCCACCTCTCTCTGCTCCTTAGGACACTCTGGGTTCAGCCCATCTCTCTTGTCATATCGCTGGCAGCCTTTGTGTTTCTCATGGTCTAGTGGTTCAAACATGAGCTCTGAGATGGGACAATCTGAAACTTTTCCATCTTAGCAACACCATTGACCAATCTGTGACATTGGGAAAGCTACTTAGCATCTCTGTGCCTTAGTTTCCCCATCTGTAAGTGCATTAATAATTGCAATTACCTTATCACAGGGTTGCTGTGAAGATTGGATGAGATAGTGCATGAAAGTGCTGGCAGGTGATGAGAGGTCAGTAACTGGTGTTCATTAGCTATTTTAAGCCACAAGATCGGCTTTGGTGTAAGATATAGTTCCTCCTGCTTCTCTTTCTTCCCCTTTCTCGTGTCCCCTTAAACTCCTTTCTTGGCATAGACTCCCTACTCGGTGGTCTAATGCTGTAGCGATAGTCCTGTCCCCATCCCTCCTGAAGCCCCATCACACAGGGTGATCCGAACACGGGGCTCCAGCTGCAGCAGGAGTTTCCTCAGCCACGGGGCCCGGTCCCTGCCTCACGTCTAAGGAACCAGAACTTCTGGGCGGGCCCTGGTGTGTGTGTTTACGACACCCTGCAGGTGAATCTGATGCACATTCCCTGCCTGGAGGCTGGCCGCCTCTTATAGGAGAGGTGCGCATCGCAGAGAGCCTTCCCGCGGTGCAGCTCAGCAAACGGGAGATGCTGGAGTTACTCCCATTTGACCTGGAGCAGACGAGGTCAGCAGTTGGACAAAGCTTGTGTCTATTCTGGAGCAGAGCTGGCAACAGCTTGCTTGTTGTAAATGCCATTTGCAGGTAGAAAACAGCCAGTGGTACCCAGGAAACCTGAGTGCAGGGTGGGCGAGTTTGCCTGCAGGAAGGGACCCTTCCACCCGCACTCTAACTTGCCCCCTTCCTGTTGGGCCGCCTTGGCCCCTCATCCTTTTCCCCATAAAGGGGACCCCTAGTTTATGTCCCGCCATGGGGAGTTGGGAGGCTGAGACCCGCAGTGTCTCCCGGGAATTTATGCTCGTTGGGAGGTTGTTCTCTGAGGCACCCAGTACTCTGTCTTGAGCATGTCAATGCTTCAAAGAGACATTTTGGCCAGAGAGTTTGCAGGGACCAGGGAGACACATGCAGCACAGGGCTGCGGTTAAGAAACTAAAGTGGGGTGCTTGGACTTGCTCTAGCCCCTCCTTGGTGGCTTTGTCCTCTGTTTTCCTGGGATAAGCAGAATGCTACATACTACATTATGTAACCAAAAGTCAGGACAAGTGATCGTTTCTGATTTTTAAAACTTATGAACATGAAAAGACGTTAAGTATACCACTAAAGCACACTTACAGTCGTTTTTATCGAAAAGAATAATTATTGGAAATTACAACTGCTCTGGAAATTGCATATGTCTGGGTAACATTGGAACAAAAACCCCTCACATTTAGAGAATTTGCAGGAGAAAAGCATCATGAGAAATACCCCAATTTTTATTTATTTGATGGCTGGCCAGTACAGGGATCCAAACCCTTGACCTTGGTGTTAGCCCCCTATATTTTTTGTTCTAAAGTGACTTGTTGGGCCGGCCCGGTGGCGCACTGCTACAGTGCGCCGCTTGGGAGCGCGGCTGCGCTCCCGCCGAGGGTTCGGATCCCACATACAGACCGGTTCCCGCTCTCTGGCTGAGCGAGGTGCAGGCGCGACACCGAGGATTGTGATCCCGTTGCCGGTCCCGGTCCGGTGCGGGCGCGACACTGAGGGTTGCGATCCGTTGCCGGACACGAAAAAAGACAAAAAGGAAAAAAATAAATAAATAAAGTGATTTGTTATTCAGATAGGTTTTTACAAAACTTTTCTCCGTCACCTTAAATTATTTTCTCTCTTTAGTTCCAGCTTTATTTTATTGCTATGTATCAAGACATACAAAGTGACCTGGTGTTTCAATTAAAGTCAGCTGTGTGCTTATGGAAGGCTCCCGAACTTGGAGCCAGAAGTCTTGGGTTAAGGTTCCAGTTCTTGTGCTAACTAGTTGTGTAACTTAAACCTTCTTCAGCCTCAATTTTCTCACCTGCAAAATGTGATAAAATGTTCTGCAGGGAATTGAATGAACTAAAGTAGGTGAAAGAGTCTGAATTTGGCTGGAGATGAAATGCACAGATGCTGATGTTTTACTCTAAAATACATGCATTTTGATCCATAAAAACCACTTAAGTCAGCCCCCTCCTAGCCCTGGTGCTGAAGGGGGCTCCCCAAGAGAGCAAGGACGAAGAGTAAAGGCGTAGGGTCTGGCAAGAGTGGGGCTGGCCAGAGCAGACACTGTAAAGACATTCACTGATAGGCATGCAGAGCATTGCATCTCTAGTTACTTATTCTTAACTCCTCAGAGTCTGGCTTTCTCTCACTTTTTCTGCCTACAACTAAAAGAACCCATCCCTCTTATGTCAATAGTATTTGTCCCATAGAAAACATGCTGAAAAATTCAGATTAAAAATTTATGATTATAGTTATTCTTGCTATTATAACCTCTACAAAAGCAACACGTACCATAAGCACTGTTATTATTATGATCACTATCAAAAATTGGCCCTACACACACTCCTAAAGGGAAGAAAGGTACTTTAAATCCAGTTTGGCACAAAGCGGGGACTCAGTAAATAATCACTAGAGCTAGCAGGGTCTCAGACATTGAACTTCACCATCATGATCGGTCACTGTCTCTGAACAAGACTGATTAAGAAAAGCACAGAGCAGGCCTCCATGTGCGGTCCCACACCCCCACTTCAGAATCACCTGGAAGCGTCTTCAAAATGCAAATTCCCCAATCTAGATTAAGGTCTCTGGGACTGAAGCTGCCTTTCCCCACTGATGGTTTCCGAAGCACCCCAAAGTTTTGCTTTTTTCCCCGTTATTTAGATAACACTTTGTTTCCATAATCAAACCCATGTAGATAAGACCTTACATACTTAGTACAGGGCGTTACCCTTGCACAAATGGGATCAAATTAAGTTTAACATTTCTAGACCAATATGGCTTTTAATTTCTGTACAATGCCAACTCAACAAGGTAAACTGGGATACATTTCAAAGTTGGCAGCACAGCTAAAGTTTTGAAAAATTCAAATTGTATATATTTATATAAAAAGACTAATAATAGCATGCTGTGCATTAATAGCAGCAACAGCTTTTCCAGGTTCTGCAGTCATCTGAACAAAATTATAGAGACATCCAGTACACCCCATTTAAAAAAGTTTGAGACTGCTTGTGCCCTAACTGTGGTTAAGTCTCTCCTTGCTCTATGTAATTGTGTAATCGTGGAGGCCATCACAGGGTCTCGGGTTGGGGCAAGACATGGACAGCTGTTCTTGCTTCAAGCATCCTCTCCTGAGTTGCAAGGCATTTAGTCAATTTTCCATAAATGATTATCTGATCATCTTTAAATGAAATCAAGGCTTGCTGAACACCACAGTTGCACAATCAACACGGAGGTGTTTCTATTCCTACCACCTGTATGCCATCTATTTCAAAACTTCATCACTGGCCCCTGTCAAATTCCCAGGTTTAAGGACCAGTTGACCTTGACTCCTGTCCTCAAGCCAGAGGCACGTGGGACCAGGCCACTGGCCCAGACAGTGGCTCTGTCTGAGCCTTTGGCTGCCTGTCTGCGGCAGAGGGAAAGTGCCATGCTGTCCCATGCGGCTGGGAAGCACACCCCTGAAGACGGCTCCCAGCTACCTCTCACTGTCAGAAGAGGAGCCCGAAGCTCAAGGTAAGGAGAGAAAACGTGCAGCCACCCACTCAGTGTGCCTCTGATTTTTATTTGGGAATGATTACATGGGCAACCCCAACAGGATTATTCTGAGCCATTTACACTCTCTCTCCACCTGCGTTTCCAAAGCTTGTTCAAGCGCTAGGACATTTACAAGCTGCCGCACACACAATCATTCTCAACAGCACTGCAGGACACACTCCACGGCTGCAGCGGTCTCCTCCCGATGCCTTCTCTCCTTACTGCTGACTCAGCACGGTTCACCCCTTGCATTTCTGAGGATCGTTGGGTTTTTGATCAGTTTTTCCAACAGTGATGATAGAGAACTCAGAGCCCTGCGTGATCACAGCTGTTTCTGCTTCTGAGCAGGGCACATTGGTGGGGGCTCGAGGCCTGTCCTGGAGAGGACCCAGCTGGCCCGGCCAGGATCAGGGCCACACCCTCAGCTGCTTTAAAACCACGCCTTCAAGGCACCCAGACTCGATACCAGAGCACTTAAAAGAGCGTACTGGGCTCTGCTCAGATGTGAGAAGCTCCCTGAGCTGCAGACCAGTCTCTCTCCCAAACCGTCCTCTCCTCAGGCCCCCTGAGCATTTCCAGCCTTCTTTCTTTGATGCTGTTTTCCTTCTCTTTGATCACTTCTCCTTGTCTCCTCGCCAGCGTCTGGATGTTCCTTTGAAGACAGGAAGATGAAACTGAAGTGCACAGTCTAATAAGGGGTCGCATAATTCTGCAAAAGCTACGAAATCCTTTCGATTAGTGCTTTCAATCAAAGCTCCTACCTTAAACATTCTTAATTTCTGCCACATTTTACATCTTGCTGTTTTTTCTTAAAATGTCTGCTGGAATTATCTGCAAGCCCGTCCCTCTCCAAGTCCCATAGCTATTCCGGGCACAACTAAACACCTGGCTGAGCTGTCTCCCAGAGGTCAGGGTGTGCCTGAAGATTCTTGAAGGCTGCCCTCCTGAGCCGCAGCTGTGTGTGGGAAGTCGGTAGGGAACCCCTCAGGTGCAGAGCACTTCTCACAGGCCATGACCTCCTGCAACAGCTGAGGGACTGTGGGTCCTCCAGAGCCTTCTCTCCTGAGAGCGTCTAGTTCTGAGGGTGCTTGCGCCATAGCATCCAGTTCCAGGAAGGACAACAATGAAGCATTTATTTATTTGGGGGTGGCTGGCCGGAACAGGGATGGAACCCTGGAACTTGGTGTTATCAGCACCATGCTCTATCCAACTGAGCTAACCAGCCAGCCCCCGATGAAGCATTTAGAAGCAATTCTATGACTTTCTGTGTTTCTCTCAACTTGTTCCGGGAAGCTCTGTGCATGCTGGATGTTACCGCACAAGGTTTTCTTCAAGGGGCAAATTTCTACAACAGCTGAGGAAAAAAGAGGCAAAGAGCGGAAAGACTTTAGTTTGTCCTTGAAGAATAAGGTAAATACAGTCTGTTTTCTTTTCCTTGTGGCAAAATATAAAATACAGCATTTTAGCCAATTTTAAGTGAGCAACTTAGTGGCATTAGGTACATTCACCATGTTGTGTAACCATCTCCACTATGTCCAGACCTTCCATCATCCCAAACTGCAACTCTGCCATTAACCCTAACTTCCCATTCCCTCCACTGCCCCCAGCCCGCCTTGACTCCACTTTCTGTCTCCATGAATTTCCCACTCTAGGTGTCTTAGATGAGTGGAATCATTCAGTATTTGTCTTTTGTGTCGGGCTTCACTTAGCACAGTGTCCTAGAAGTCCATCGTGTTGTAGCAGGCGTCAGGCTTTTCCTTTCCCTTTATGGCTGGATGGTGTTCTGTTGTGTGGATACAGCACCACTCTGGAGTTCTGGTTTCTAATCTGCTTGTTTGCTCACTTCACCTGGGTGTGGGATCAAAGCTGCATGTTGAAGTCTGATCTGTTGTGCTCCTACAACGTGTGGCCGGGGCCAGACCCTGGCCTCCCTTACTGAGAATGAAAAGACCAGGTCCTGTAAGAATGGTGGACTCCTGAGCGGGGTGGGGGCACGGGCCCTTCTGGCCAGGGTAGGGACACGTCAGTTCTCCCAGGGCCCCTCGCAGACCCCATGCCTGGTACTTGGACAAGCCCTGCTTTCCTACTTCCTCAGCCCTGAGGTGCAATGAAGCAGTGCTCGGTCAAGCTCTGTTTAAGCTGTAATCACTGCTTTATGCAGATAATGGAGCTTCATCCTCCCCTGGCACCTGCAGGAATCTCCCAGGCAGGAGGGTGGAGGCCACCCGACCCATGTACTGGCATTTTGTGTGAGGCTGGAGGAGACAGAACTAAATGTGGCCCTGAGGGTCCCTAGAGGTTCGAGTCATCGAGGAGCAGGTCTGACTGCTAGAAACACCCTCTGACCCCAGGTGGAGGAAGGACCGGAGAGGACACAGAGCATAGGAGACCTGAGCATAGGGGCTTAGTTAAGGAGGTTTGCAGTCACCTCGGGAAGACCAGCTTGTGGTCTGAACTTAGGTAGTGGCCTTGCAGGTGGGCAAAAGGGCACGCATTTGCATGGTATTGAAGCCAATGGATGGTATTTAGTGGCCAATATGCTCAGGAGTGAAGGGAAGTATTTGAGGACCACCACAGACTTCTCGTACCTTGATGTCACCCACGGAGAGGGGGCAGTTGGAAGGACGGGCTTTTGCTGGTGCTGGGAGGGGGCTAGAACGGCTTCCGTCTTTGATGTACTGAGCTCGAAGGGCCAGTGTAAATCCAGGTAGAGTGGATTTAAAGTTAAGCAAAAGGAAAAGAAACATGCATGCACGTCTCTGCTTTTCATCTCAAAAAGGAAAGACCAAGAATTAGGACATACAGAAGAGTTTTTCTTGAGATTAGTGAGGCAGTTCTCCTTAGGAGAGAAACTTTTATTTAGTGAGAACTTGACACTATCATGAGAAGCTGTGTTATTTGACTGTCAGTTACCTTGGGCAGTGGAAGAAAATACTGGAAAGACTTGCAACACACAATCCATGAGTGTCTGCCATAAACAGTGGGCAGAACTCAGACCAGACTGCTTTATACACTCACACACACACACACACACAAGGGTACTTCAAAGTTTGTGGAAAAATAGAACTAAAAGATAATACAAATCTTTGTATGAACTTTTGAAATACCCTCGTACACTCACACACACGTGACTGCAGCGTGGAGAATAGAAAGGGAAATTAAGGAATCAACCATCATGGTCTGTATCGATCAGACTGGATACTTCATGCCATGTAAACTTAATAAGAAATAAGTTTGGGAGGCAAGTACAGCCGTCCCTTGGTATCCAGCGGGGACTGGTTCCAAGACTCCCCTCGAATACCAAAATCTGCTGATGCTCAAGTCTCATCGCTCCCAGACTGTGTGTGGAGGAGTCAGGGGCAGACGGGGGGCTGGTGCCGCATGCAGTGGAGCCCTGTCTAATCGGGAGATACCGTCCTTGGAAGAAAAATCGATGCCTTCAAACTCATTAGCGAGAAATGTCACGAACATTTAGCAGAAGAGGCTTTGTCTACTGCAGCTAGTGTGGAAAGGGCAAAAAGGCAAACCTATTTATAAAAACTTAAAATCACTTACCTGAGTGGTAAGACAGCTGTGGTGGCTCAGAAATCCCAGAAGACAAGAGCACATTACAAAAGCAACATCTCTACTAAGAACAGTTTTGTAGCCTGGAAAAAAAAAATTACGTGTTCTGTTTTTTATAATAAAATAATTTATACAGCCTCTTGGAAGGAAAAGCATCCAATTCTCTTCTTTAAATGCATAATGATGCATAACTTTGCAAATGCAGTAATCTAGATCACCCTTTGCTGAAGGAAGGAACATGACCCTGGCTCAGTTGGGCCCACTGGCGTCCAGGAGCCGGCTTCCTGGGCTGTGGCTGGGAGGTTTCCTTGCTCTAGCAGGATCAGCTGTGGGACCACAGGGCCAGGGCTGGGCATGGGCTGGGCCAGGCATCATTACTTCTAAGGGCATCTCTGTTAGGTGCATCATCAGGCCAGCATCTGCAGCAAATACTGCTGGTTCTCTCTGCTCTGTTCCTCTGAGGTTAGAGATCACCCTGCCCTGCATGGCGTATGGTCCTCCCAGTGACACGAGGAGGGCAGCAGAGACCCTGCGTGGTCTGCACTTGGTGGCTTCTGGTCAGACAGCTGCCCCCACTCACACACAGGGCTCTTCACTGCACGCTCACACACACACCCCTGCATGTGCCTGTGCACACATGCAGACGCATGTGGAATTTGGTCCTCAGAATTGCTACCTGCTCCTACCAGCTCTCGGCCATCAGGGATTCCATGAATCAATGGCCACGTCACTCAGCCCCTCTCCTTCCCATGTCCACGAATGCCTTCACCCATGGATGCCGAGAGCTGACTGGCACCCATTTCATTTAAGTGACGCTCCACCCAAGTCACTGATGATTTTCTGTCTGTGGTAAAACAAAAGAAACCTGCTTCTGAAAGCTGCAACCAGTGATGAGTCACCAAAAAAGGAAACATGGGATCGCCCTAGCACCAAAGCAACAGAAAATCATGTGTACTAGAATAATCCGCCTCTTACAAACTTGGGTGGGAAACTAGTGACATTAACATCCAAGGACATTGCATAGTTCAAGATGTGTCGGCCGGCTTTGCTTCCGTTGGTCTGTCCTGGGCATTCACCTTCTCCCCTCCTTGCCCCAGGCCATCCCCAGGGAAGCCCCCTCCTCAGGGTGGGTCCCAGCTCCTGGTGCTGCCGGCAGGGCATTACCCGTGTGGCCACCACTGTGTAAGAAATTGCCCCAGGCCATCCCCAGGGAAGCCCCCTCCTCAGGGTGGGTCCCAGCTCCTGGTGCTGCTGGCAGGGCATTACCCGTGTGGCCACCACTGTGTAAGAAACCGCCAGGGCAGGACCCACGTCTGTTTGCTGTTCCTTTTATCCTCCCTCCGGGCCAATGCCTGGCAGAGTAGCCATTCAGTAAACTCGGCAGATGTCAAATGAAACCAATGAACATCTCCTAAGAACAGTGAAACCTAGAAAGGCCCCTTGTTGGGCACAATACAGTGATCTAAATGTCCCCTCGCTGCTGGGACACTGCGTGCAGACTGGTGGAATGGGCACCGAGGAACAGAGTGCATGAGTTGTCACAACGATTTTCATAATTTCAGAATAGTCACACGGCCAGCAGACTGGCTTCTGTGCCCTCTGCGTGTACCTCATCCTGTCTGTGCTCTGCCGACGTCTTTCCCGTCCAAAGCCTGAGCTCATCCCGTGGGAGAGGCTGCCCACATGACTGCAGGTGATGGTGATTTGGGGCTTGTTCTGCCTTGTCTATAGGACTCCCTGCACTGTCCCTACGGGGTCTCTATGCTACCCCCTGGTCTCTCAGGTTAGCATCTCCTGCAGCCTCAGGCGTGGGGAGGGGAAGGGGAAACTGAGGATGGCTCTGAGCCCCCCCATCCTATTTCAGCCAGAGCAATTTTCCTTATTTTTTTGATATTGGTGGTCCAATCAGCTTTTATTTGAAAAGGGATTCTTCTGCTTAAAATAAAAGTTAAAAACCACTTTTCTGGAGCTGAGAGTGCTCACTCACCTGTAACTATGAACACAAGGCTGGAAGCCCCTGCTAGAGGCTGGCCCGGCTCTCCCTGTGCCCTCAGAATCGAGGCCTCACTTAGCTTCTCCCGCACTGGAGGGACTCGGCCACTTCCTAG